TGACCATCACTGAATTAGTGTTCTAATTACGTCAGAGGCTAGGGTGGAAGTGCTCGTGAGCTGAAGGTGTCAAAATTTTCTTCTAATTCTTATTTTTCGGGTTTAGATCAATTGGCTTGTTAAAAGTCAAGCAGCGACGTGACCAGAACTAAATCAAAAATTTCATTTTCATTTTCTGGGTTTTTTTTGACATTTTTTATGATACCCGAAGCAAAACTCGATTTCGATAAGGTTCGATTTGACTCGTGTTGACTCAAAACAGAGTCAATTCAACTTTTCTCTGGTCGACTTCATTTTTTCGTCTTGACTAGTGTCAATTCGAGCCAAGTCAATTTTTTCCGAGTAAATTCGCCTCGACTTCAAGCTCCGCCAGAAGCTAAACTCCGTCCGAAGTCAAAACTCACCTCTTCTGACCTATAATTCAAGAAATTCTATCAAAAACTTCACTTATTTATGATTCAACAACTCAATCCAAGCTTTTTAATACGATTTTATGAAATTGCAACTTATTTCACTACCTTAGGTGCAACAACAAGCACAGAATGTCCACATCCAACCCTCAACTGTCCCCTCTTAACCCTCAAAATCTCACAAATCAACCTCAAAGTAAAGAAATAAAAAATCTCAAAAATCGACAGCACAGAAATGCCAGCAAAAAGCCCTAAAAGTCCACCGATGTAGCTCAAAAAATCAAATATTGTAAATTGCTGGACACGCTGCATTAAAATGAATTCATTGTCTTTAAACTTAATTTTTATAATTCCTTCAGTTGAGTTTTTAGAATGTTTAATGTTGATAGTTTCGAGGTTATAGGACGTGTAGCTGCATGGATGTAGACAATTGCATGAATTTTCATCAAACAAAGTTTCATTTTTGACTTTATTGATGCAAGAATAGTCGAAAAGCTCACAAATCTTAGTCTTGTTAGACCTGATGACATCAAATGGGACACAAGCGCAGGTTTTGAGTAGTTTTGCTGATAAGCACTCAATTTGGCAGTTCCGATGAGTGTAAATTTTGAAGAATTTCAATTTTCTTTCATTTTTAAGGTAGCAGTTCCGTTGATTTATTGATAATTTGCCGAATTTTTCATCAACTTTAACAACTTCAGGTATAATGAAGACTTCCAATGTCCTTGGAAGATTTAATCCAAATGTATTGACATCATCGCTTAACGTTTGCATTGGATACTCGAAACTTGGGTGGATGGTCACATAAGTTCGCTTCTGTTTTAAATAATGTGGGATTTTAAAGTAAATGACTTCAATTGACTCGTGGTTCCTATAAGATGGCTTCAGCGGGTATTTCATGCCTTCTTTTAATTGACCGCCTTTAAAGTAATTCTGAAAATTGTACAGGAAGTCTTGTGATGTCCTGGAAGTAAAAAGTCATTAGTATTTTACATAAAACTTCAATGCCTACAAACCTGGACTCATAAAACATCTCATCACTAGGCAAAATGTTAAAACTATGCCCTAAGATCATGTTTGTGATTGTCTCAGCTGTCTTGACTGAATATTTCCCATTCCAGACTAGCCCAATGTCAGATAAGTGCTTTTTGGAGATCGCCTTTCTTGCAAATGGAATAATCTTGTGGCCATAATTTGAAAGATTTCTTAGAATATTGTCAGGCTCCAAAAGTTCAGGTGTCATGTTTTCTTCATTGGTAAATATTTTATGGACATATCGGTAAATTATGTTCTCGATAGCAACCCTGAAATTCAAACATTATTAACTTATCAGACTGACATACTAACAACCAGACAGACATACAGACATACAGTAAGATAGAATGACAACAAGAAAGTCTAACAGCATGACTTACAGTCAGTCTAATAAAGATTGACTTATTAAAAATAAATTATCATACTCGTCTAAGCTCAGATCTCCATCTATAACTTCAGAATCAAATCCGATAGCATCACTCGTGATTGTTACAGCTGGAAAAGCAACTTGACTGATGTTGACGTAGTCATTCATTGAAATTATAGACACTGAATCAATTGTGAACTTGTGATTTAGTTCACGAATCAAGTAGAAGCAAGATCCAGTCGATATGATGAATGCTATTGTCCATGCGACTCTAAAATAAAAGAATCAATTAATAGACAATTCAAATTAGTCAAGGTATTGCTTTATTACCTTTCAATCATCCTAAACTCATCCCCAAAGATGTAATTAAAGCCATGAACAGATGAGTCTTTAAGCAAATTATTTGGATAAAGCCACAATGATCTTTGATTCTTCGTAACTTCATTAGATTTCCCACCAATTAGGCCCCTCGAGACATGAAAAATAACCTCAAAAGCTGACAAAATTGAGAATCCAAAAAATAATCCAAGAATTCCGCCAACAAATGAGAACCAATCGATCATTGTGAAGTACTTCTTGCGGATTTGAGGATAAAAACTGTCAGACTTGAACTTTGCAATTATTTCCATCGCTATGTACTGAAAGTTACTGCAAAAAGGATGTTTATTGCTTTATCTTCGCATGCTTATCTTGAACTTACAATTCACTTTTAAACTTCTGAAGCACAAACTCATAACTAATCTCCTCACATGGCGGGTAGCAGCTGCACTTGACTTCATCAAACTCTTCATATTCACGATTAAAACAGTCAAGTTGAGTTGTGCTGCATATCAAGGACGTGTCGTTGTCTGGAAAATGTTTAAAATTGATGAAAAAAACTCATTTTTGTGACTTTATTGCTTACTGATGAAATAATAAGGCACACAGCCGCACTTCTGGAGAATAAATGAGCTCTCGCATTCTCTCAAGCAGTTTATGGACGTGTAGGTTTTGAAATATTGAAGAATGTGCTCGTTTGGCTTGTAGCAGTGGCGACTGGAAGGGAAAAATGTTTTAAAATTCATAAAATTGACTTAAGTTGGCATAGCAAGGAGGTGCGATCCTCAAATAAGATTGATGAATCTTCAAGAAGCACTTGCTTAGCCACATACTCATCAACATCCAGTGCCAAAAGTGTCTCATCAGTGATTCTAATTTGTGGTTCAATTGACAATCTCGAAACTTCATAGTCATACAGCGAGTAGCTTCTGTGTCGCGAGTCTGGTGTCTCAAATGGTGAATGTACAACAACAGTCATGTTCTTAAAATGAAAATTAATCGCACGAAATCCAAAATCACTTTGGGATGTGAAAAGCGGTGGATTAAGCTGAGCTTTTGTTAAGTCACGAAAAACATTAATTTGATCAATTTTTGAGGATGGCTTAAAGTCAAAAAAGTCAGCTGTAGAATTTTTGTTAAATATCTCGTTTTGATCCACAATATTGAATGTGTTGCACCAATTATAAGACGAGAATGTAATGACATGAGCACCTTGGTACTTCCTTAGCCAATCAATATGAAAATTCAAATGGAATTGCATGAAAACTGCAAGAGCATTTTTGGTTCCTTTGTAGCATTCTTTTGGGACTGTCTTGTTGAAGCAGATGTTTAAGTCAAATGGCTGCTTGTCTTTTAGGAATGAAGTTATAACTTCATGCTTGTTGTCTATGAAAAGCTCACTACAGACTGATATTGCTGGAAATGGGATCTGAAATAGGTTTGCACTTTAAAGTCTTAATTTTGGCATTATTTAAAGTCATGCACCATGAGAGGCTTAACATAGGCTATCAAATTTCAACCTTACTAAGGACATCAGATGTAAGCAGCAAATCATAACCACAGACACCAAGTGCTTTTAAATTCTTACATTTTTAATGTGTTCCGCATTGTCTGGTTGGTAAACAATGACTGGATTGTGATCAATTTTCAATTTAATCTCGTAAAATAAAAGCAGGCAGCAAACTGCAGAGCACAAAATTGCTAGCGTCCAAAAAAATCTGAAAAATTTAAACTTATCAGGATATGGAAGTGCTTAAAAATTATAACAGTTTTTTCAGAACGCCTTCCACCCCCTTCCCCCTTCCCCATTCCACCTTCCCCCTTCCCCCTTACCCCTTACCCCTTTCTCTTCCCCCCTTTCCCCTTCCCCCTTCCCTCTTCCCCCTTCCCCCTTACCCCTTCCCCCTTCCCCCTTCCCTCTTCCCCCTTCCCCCTTCCCTCTTCCCCCTTCCCCTTCTCCCTTCCCCCTTCCCCCTTCCCTCTTCCCCCTTCCCCCTTCCCCCTTACCCCTTCCCCCTTCCCCATTCCACCTTCCCCCTTCCCCCTTACCCCTTCCCTCTTCCCCCTTACCCCTTACCCCTTACCCCTTCCCCCTTCCTCCTTATACCTTACCCCTTACCCCTTCCCCTTTCCCCCTTCCCCCTTACCCCCTTCCCCCTTACCCCATTGTCAATCTTACTTTTCAATCAAGTGTCGTCCTTGAGAAATGTACGAGAAGCCATGAAGTGTGGTGCTTTTTATATAAAAATTAAATTTTTTGGCAAATTTCTGCATTTTTGAACTATTCAACCTGCGACTTACTTCAATATAAAAATAAAAATTACATATTCAAGTCCGGAAATCCGCTGCTTCGTGACTATTTTCAGATTTTAAAATTGACAAGCTTACGTTTTGAATTTTTAATTTTTTTTTATCATGCAAACTCAGTCAAGTCTTAAAACAGAGAATTTTTGTGATTTCTCTCATTTTCTTGCTTATAGTCAGCATCACATCAGTTTTATTTCAATTCTCACTACTATTACTGTAGCTCAGTAATATTCAACCAATGTGCCGTGGAACACTGGTGTGTCATGGCTGGGTAAAGAGCAGTAGATGGATGTAGAAAACAAAGAAGGATTCACAAATAAGAGGAAGTCAATAAAATATGTTGAAAATTAAAAAAAAACGATTTGGGATCATTCATAAATGACGTCTAATATTTGAAGAAACTCATCTGTGACGGTTCAAATTGGTGAATGAAGTCTAAAAATCATGAGTGCGGAACTGATAAATAACATTTTGATCATTTTTGATTATCTCTTCAGTTCCGCACCCTTGCTAAAAAATATAATTTTTTTAAGGACGTCATTTATGAACATCCCTTATGTATTCTATATAATATCATCGATATAACAATTTTTTCTTTTTATTAATAAAAACTTCACATTTGGAATGATATAAAAAAATACAATAAAAAATTCAATTTCATTTTAATACTCAAATTTTAACTAAATCCCATGAATTTAGATGAGAATTTTCACAAATGGCTAGCTGCAGTAGCGCTCCTTTTTCAACTTTAGACACGGATAAACAGGTCCCGGTAGCGACATTGTAGATTGGAGATTTTGTCTGTTGATTAAATAAATAATAAAGTTTAAGTGAGTTGAATTGAGTTAAACTGAGTTGAACTGAATTGAACCGAGTTGAACCGAGTTAAACCGAGTTGAACCGAGTTGAACTGAGTTAAACCAAGTTAAACCGAGTTGAACTGAGTTAAACCGAGTTAAACCGAGTTGAACCGAGTTGAACCAAATTGAATTGAGTTGAAATGAGTTGAACCGAGTTGAACTGAGTTGAAATGAGTTGAACTGAGTTTAACTGAGTTGAACCGAGTTAAACCGAGTTGAACTGAGTTGAACTGAGTTGAATTGAATTGAACTGAGTTAAACTAAGTTGAACTAAGTTGAACCAAGTTGAACCAAGTTGAACTGAGTTTAACTGAGTTAAACCAAGTTGAACCAAGTTGAACCAAGTTGAACCGAGTTGAGTCGAATTGAACCGAGTTAAACTGAGTTGAACTGAGTTGAACTGAGTTAAACCAAGTTGAACCGAGTTGAACTGAGTTAAACTGAGTTGAACTGAGTTGAACCGAGTTGAACTGAATTGAACTGAGTTAAACCAAGTTGAACCGAGTTGAACCGAGTTGAAATGAGTTAAAACGAGTTGAAATGAGTTTAAATGAGTTGAACCGAGTTAAACCGAGTTAAACCGAGTTGAACCGAGTTGAACTGAATTGAACTGCGTTGAACTGAGTTAAACGAAGTTGAACCGATTTGAACTGAGTTGAACTGAGTTGAACTGAGTTGAACCGAGTTAAACCGAGTTAAACCGAGTTGAACCGAGTTGAACTGAGTTAAACGAAGTTGAACTGAGTTGAACTTAGTAGAACTTAGTCGAACCTGGTCGATCTTAGTCGAACTTAGTTAAAATTAATCAAACTGCAATCAATCAAAAAAAATGTAAAGTACTTACAATTTTCTGATGATGCCACTGTTGATCACCGCCCATCTCATGACACTTATTCAGCAGTGGCTGCGACAATGAATTGCTTTGAGCTTCAAGACACAAAAGTTGTCCAAAAACAAGTTCATTTTTGTCAGTCTCGTACCACATTTGACTTTTAACACGTAAGCATGTAGCCAGTTCCACATGACTTCCTTTTTTCCATGAATTTCTCTCTTTTGATCCTTCGATTGTGGCACAAAGTGTCGTGTTTGTGAGCCTCATCATAAATGTGCTGACATAATTTCGTTTACGATTTTGCCACGGCTGAAATTTCGGTTGTTCCTGTTTTGACTTTTCACCTGGCAGTGACTGTTGTGGATATATATTGTCCAAATACCATTTAAATGATTTACAATTTAATTTTTGACGTAAAGCAACTCGCTCGCTGATATCTCCATAGTCCTTGTTCCTTGCATTCGGTTGATTTTCAAGGAAATACTTAATATAGTCATCCATCCACACATGAGCTAGTCTTAATGAGTTTGTGATCATTGTGTCATCAATTCCGATATTCCCGTAAGGTTTTCTCTTTCTAAACACATGTCCAACACGACTACATGGCACAATCTGAATTGTTCCTCCACACTGCCACTGTCTAAATGATATTTCAATATTCTCACCTCCCCAGACGTCCATCTTCATGTCATACTCGCCAAGATCCTTAAAATATTTCCTATTTATTGCAAATAGTCCACCGGGCATGGATGGCGACATGAATGGACCAGCATAATCCTTGTCAGTTTCAAGCATCGACTTTGGAATCATGTCCCATCGGAAGTGCAAGCCCCAATTGAATCCACCACGAACTAATGGACTTGATGTGTACTCGAATGTATCAGCATTAATAATATCAATTAGTGGAACTGCTATAGCACTTGAGTTGTGTTTTATTAAATGTAATAATGGCTCTATCCAGTCTTGATTGACTTCTATGTGACTGTCTAAAAAAATCAGGGCTTCTGCTGATGCATTTCGTGATCCAAAGACTCTTGATCGAATTAATCCTTCCCGCTTGCCATTTCTAATGATTTTAATCTTTTTACTAAAAATCAGATCTTTAAGTTTAAGCTCCAGTTCATCTTTCAGATCTATCAAGTCACTTCCATCGTCAACTAAAATTATTTCTTTTAAAATATTCTCTGGAGTTCTCTCAATCACTGAATTAACGGATCGAACTAGTGTTGTAATGTGCTCATTGTAGAAGCACATGATAATTGATACAGTTGGAAGCTCATTATCGTATTTTTGTGATAAACATCTGAAAAATAAAATTATTTTAATGTGAATTTTAATTTTGTGTTAATTGGAACCGAGTGGCATAGTTTTAGGTGATGTCTATTTTGGGTTATGTAGCTACAACAAAGTCTTAACCTCAATCTAATGTCAAGGGTTGGTATAGGTGCAGGTTTAAGAAATCAATCATGGAGGATAGTTTCTAAAGTTATTTGGAATATACCAAAGAGTCAGGGAAAGGGTTCTGACCCATCAGACCAGTGGTTCTCAAACAATGATGCTGATAAAATCTTCAAATGTATCTCAAAATTTAAAAAATTAAAGAAATCCTCGTGTTATAAAAAAATTCGAATTTCTTAACGCACCCTGATTTCAATTTTTACAACGGTAGAAAATGATTTAATTTTCTAAACGCACCCATCACGTGTTTTTTTAATGAAATAAAAAAATCATTAATTAAATTACAAATACACTGTTTTCAGACTTTTAACTGTTCGGCCGGCCAATAACTCGATAGAACTGAGCTAATAAAACAAACCTAAACTCTCTACGGTGTCTGGTTAAAAAGTTTTTCTTACCCCGAGCAGCCGAACAGCCGAAAAAAGTGTATTATTAAGGGGCCATTCACTTATTACGTAACGCTTTTAGGAGAAGGGGGGGGGTCTAAGATTTTGTTACGGTTCAAACAAGGAAATTTTTTTTCATACAAATTTTGTTACGAGAGGGGGGGGGGGGGTCTAAAAAGTCATTTTTTCGCGTTACGTAATAAGTGAACAGCCCCTAAGCTACCTTTTAGAAACAAGTTTCAAAAATGCGATAAAAAACACTTCAAAAATTTATTTCAAAAAGAGATTAACTGAATCGTGGTTAAAAAGCTGAGAACCACTGCGTAAGATCCTTCCATTGCCTGATTAATTGACTGAGCGAGAATCTGAGGCTGCCTGTAACCTTAAAAGCCACGAAAATATACCAAAAATCACAACATCCACACTAGAGCAGTGTTGTTTAAACTGAGGACCGCGGCACACTGGTTTTCTATTAATTTTTTTTAAAATGACGCAAGCCGCATGCCTTGTGCGAGTTTGATCATGGCTCACAATTAATGAGTGTCGTGACTCAAAAAAGTTCGTACAACACTGCACTAGAGACTCTTAAAACACAGTTTGAGAACCTCTGGATCATTAGTATACCGTCATGTAGACACAAATTTCAAAATTTTATGCCGACCGGGTTTATTTTACTAATTATTTTTTAATTGACTTACATTTTATTTCGTGTATCAGGAACTTGTCGAGTTATTCCAATTTGATTGCTAACGAGTACATTAAATGCATGAGTTTTATATCCATCATCCCTAACAATTTGATCCTCGACATTCTTAATGATTCCAAATTCAGAGAATTGTCTTATTGTGATTGGTGTCAAGTCATTAATTAATTTTTGACTTAATTTTCTTTTTGATTTTAATTTTTCATACTTTTTCTTGACATTTGATGCCTTGCTGTCCACATCCTTGCTATTATGCTTTAAAAAGTCCTCATTTGAGTCATCAAAGTCGTCATCGTCTGTATTAAAGATATTTTCTTGAAAATCTTTATAAACTTTGACTGTTTGAGGAGAATTAAGTGAGTAGTAAAGGTAAAATGATAAGATCCATGTGATAAGGACGCCGAAGAAGAATCCACAACAAAATACTCGCTTATTCATTCAGATTTTAATTAATTATTTTGAAAACACAAATTTTTAGCAACATTATTTTATGTTGTTTATTTTTACGAGGGGCGGAAACTTTAGAAACTTTAATTTTTGATCGATATTAAGTTTAACGGTCTTTAAAAATTTGAAGTAGTGTTGAAAGCTTTATTTGTATCTCGACAACAGAATGCTCTCGTTTTTTTCCTCACAGTCAAACAGCTCATCAGATTAGCTTTAAGTTGAGCGAATCCAAACAAAGTTTTGCAACTTAAACGAAGTTCAATGTTGGATGTCATTAAAATGTAAATACTGATTGGAATTTCCAAGTGATAGGCATGAAATGAGATGCACATCAAGCCTTTCGCTATAAGCTCACAATAATCAATCTGATCAGTTCTATGTTCTCTTTTGATCAGGTTGGAGATGCTGTTGGTTCTTTAAACTGATATTTTTAAATTAAGCATTAAGACACGGATTACTTTAATTGTTGAGAATCTCTGAACTTCCACGCGTGATAGTAAAAATTAAATATTTTCGGCAAAATTGCTTAAAAAACTGCGTAAATTGTGGAATTAGCTGTGCTGGTTTTCTTGCGCTTGTGTGCCATTTTAAATAGTTTTTGTGACTTTTGAACTTCCGCGCGTGATTTTAAAAATGATGTTTTTGCAATTTCGATGCTTTTTCTGTTTTGCGTTGTTAATTTAAAACATGCAGCTAGCTTCAAGTGTGAATTTGATTATTTGGGTTATTACTCATGTAATTTAATATCAGACTTAAGCAGCATAGAAGAGAAACATAATATCTCAAAAACTGATGATAATGTGGAAAAAATTCAATTTGAGGGAGACAACAATGAAGATTTAATTCAATTAGATTTGAGTCCAATTTGTCAACGATTTAAAAATGTGAATAATGTTTTAATAAATAAAATTGAATTAATCAACGAAAAATCATTTCGAGAATGCAAGAATTTTAAAATTATTTGGATTTCATACTTAAAAATGGAAGAAATTCCAGAAAATTTATTTTCAAATCATTCAATTTTAACTGAAATTGGTGTAAGCAGGAGCAACTTAACGACTTTATCGGAAAATGTTTTCTTCCACCAAACAGAACTCCAGCGGTTATATTTAGATAAAAATCAAATCACTTGTTTGCCATTAAACATTTTCAAGTCACTTGTGAAGCTGTCGTGGTTGGATCTTGGCAGCAATAAAATTCAATTATTAATTCCAAAATGGTTCGAAAATCTTCAATCTTTAAAAACTCATTGGATCTGAGCGATAACAAAATTCAGGATTTACCAAAAAATGTTTTTACAAACTTGATCAAGTTGGAATATTTACACTTGTCTGACAATCAATTGACAACAATTCACTCAGACTCGTTCGGAATTTACAGAAATTTGATTTTTATTGATTTAAACAACAACAATATCAGCGCAATTGATGAAAAGCTCATCAACAATCCTGTAGCTAATTTGTTTGACATGAGAGGAAATGATTGTATCGATTCATATATCATAACAGATGATGACACAATAGAAGATCTAAGCAATTGCTACGAGAACTATCAACCAAGTGAGCAGCCTCGTGTAGCAGCAAGTAAGCATTCATTTAAATCCACATTTTTGTATAATTAATTTATAATTATTTTTTAGCCGTAAGTATCGTTATTATCAGGCGAGTATGGCTGTCAAGGACAAGTTACAAGTATTTTGGTGCTTAGGATATTCTCTTCTCCCTTGGAACCTACCGCACATTCTAAACATCATCTTCCTCCACATGCTAAAGCCCACTCAAGGGTTGCAAACAATTCTTCAACCTTAAAACTCGTCGTACACTCTGAACTCCCTTCATCCTTAGGATGCAGAACTGATAAATTACATTTTAGATCATTTTGGTTCATTTCATAAGTTCTGCATCTTTGCTTTCCTCCGTACGTCTTAAGTAACCAGTTAAGGTGCGTAGCCAGGGGTAGGGGGGGTTCAGGTGACAAATCCTCCAATGTGAATAAAAATTTCTTAATGTTGCTTGGGTTTTAGTAAAAAAATCCTGAAAAATAAACCACCCCCCTCCCCCCCAATTACCAACCCCCCCTCCAATTTCACCCCCCCCGTGGTATTTTTAAGGATTTTTTTTAAATAAAACTCAAGAAACACGAAAAAAATTCTGTTCTCGTTGAGGGATTTGTCACCTGAATCTCCCCTCCCCCCTGGCTATGCGCGTTAACTGGTTACTTAAGACGTACAAGGGAAAGAATGGATGCGGAACTGATGAAATGATCCAAAATAAAAAAAAAAAATCTGGCTCCACCCATAGTCTTATTATTCCTAATTTAAAATTACAAAACTTCAAAAAAAATCTACTTTTAGTGCTCGTCTACAACTGAACAACAATCGACCACAGCAGCGACAACAACAACTTTTTAAGATTAATATTTTTGCTGCTCTTTCCCGTGGCTAATTGTTCTGGTTTCTGGTTTAAATTGGTTTAATCAATTGATGCAAGGTGTAGGCATAGGGCCCCCCCACCCCCCCTACGAAAATCTGATAATTGTTTTATTAAGTATTTATAGAGAAGAACCAGTAAATGTAGAGGAAGTGATGAAAGAAATGTCAAAATCAGCATGAAAAATTAAATTTAATGTATGAATAATAAATATTTAAATATTTAGTCATTTGATGATTTATCAACTTCAACAAAAGCACACGATTCTGTAAAATAATTGTAGCATAAACACATAACCTTGAGGGGTCTTTAAAGGGGTTACCAGGACTTACTATGCTCCAGATTTGGTTCCAATGTTGAGTGATCCTAGCAGGTTTAGAAAATGTTGCTTCAGTTTGACCCAATGACTTGATCATGGCACCAATTAATTAAATAGATTTCAAATTAGGAGCCGTTCACCTATGACGTCCAGGAGGGGAAGGGGGAATAATTGAAATTCCTGGAAATCCATTGTTCTTTTTTGAAAATGACCGTTATTATTGGACGTCATAAGTGAATGTCTCATTATCATTTTAGGGTTTGAATGCCAATGTTTGCACTAAATAATGCCAGGGACATAACCAAAAACTTGAAGGGGGTGGGGACAAAAAATTGATTTTAATCTATTAATGAGTGGGGGATTTGTCCCTGAAATCTCCCCCCCCCCTCCCTGGCTACACAGCATAATAAAGCTGAGTTCAAGTAAACAAGTTCACTGACGAATGTCCACGATAGCTGCAATGCTAATTCTATCATTTTGCGACCATGTATTGCATATTGAGTATGAATAAAATAATATCAACTTGACGCTCAGTCTGAGAGGATCAAGAAGAGTATAAAATCAAAGAATTACAAAACTGAGAGTCAATGATGAAGGAGATTCCAACTGAGCAAATCTAGTGATAAGCATGAGGCAACTCTTGTCTCTCAATTCTCTACAACTTGTACATTTCAACATTCTCAGTTCTTCGTTCTCTTTTGATCAGTTCGGAGATGCTGTTGCTTACTTGCTTGATATTTTCTAGCTTTTATCCTTAAATAGTTGATTAAACTTTGACAAAATTGTGAAATTTGAGGTTATGAAAATATTGTCGATTTGAATAATCTGAAAAATTTGTGGAATTAAAAAAGACACGAAGCTGTGCTGATTGTCTTAGATTTTTTTTATGACTTTTTTATTGTAATTTTGTGAACCTTTGAACTTCCGCGCGTGAACTTCCACGCGTTGCTTTAAAAATGAAGTTTTTTGCCATTTTGTTGACTTTTCTGCTTTGCATTCTTAATATAAATTATGCAATTTGCTCCAAATGTGACTTTGAACAGCTTTATTCATATACCTGCAAAATAAAGCCAGACTCAAGCAGCATAAACGAAAAACATGACGATGCAAAAACTGACAATGATGTTGAGACAACTGAGTTTGATGGAAATGACAATGAAGATTTATTTCAATTGGATTTAAGTCCATTTTGTCAACGATTTAAAAACATGGCGGAAGTGAACGTCAATAATGTAAAGTTTATCAGCGAAAACTCTTTTCAAAAATGCAAAAATTTGAAGGAAATTTGGATTGAAGACGCAGAAATGGAAGAAATTCCTGAAAATTTATTTTCAAATCAATCAATTTTAATTCAAATTATTCTTAAAAATGGAAAATTAAAAGCAATACCGGAAAATACTTTCAAAAACCAGAAGAAACTTGAGCATTTAAACTTGGAAATTAATAAAATTTCTTGTTTGAAACCAAACATTTTCAAATCGCTCATAAAACTTTCAAAGTTAAATCTTCGTGAAAATAAAATTCAGTCATTAAATCCAAAATGGTTTGAAAATCTTCAATCTTTAAAAACTTTGTGGCTTAATATCAACAAAATTCGAGATTTACCAAAAAATGTTTTTGTGAATTTAAAGAATTTAAACAAGTTGTACTTAAATGACAATCAATTGACAGCACTTCACTCAGACTCATTTGGAATTCACAGATATTTGGAAATAATTGGTTTAAAAAACAACAAAATTGATGCAATTGATGAAAGAATCATCAACAATACAGCAGTTAAGAAGCTTGATATGGGAGGAAATGTTTGCAGCAATGAAGACATCGAAAGAAGTGACAAAATAAAAGAAAAATTAAGCAACTGCTTTAAGAACTATCAGCCAAGTGAGCAGCCTCGTACAGAATCAAGTAAGAAGTAATTTAATTCCAAATTTTTGCTCATACATTCTTAATTATTTTTCCAAATCTTGTAGCCGTAAGTATCGTTATTATCAGGCAAGTATGGCTGTCAGATACAAGTTTTAAGTTTTTTTAGTGTTTAAGATGTTCTTTTCCTCTTTCGATGCCCTTCCCCCTTTCCAAACATCATCTCCTTCCACACCTTAAAGTCCACTCAAGTTTCCAAAGAATTTTCTAAACCTTAAACTCTTCAAACTCTCTGAAATTCTTTCTTCTGGACCTCTTAAGTGACCAAGGTAGCTGATTAGCCTAGGGGATGGAGGAGGGGTGGGGAGTTTAGATTATGATAAATTCCCCAACTTCAACAGGAATTTCTTCATTTTAGGCTAGGCGTGGAAACTCAAGATTAATCCTGAAATTCCCAAAAATTCGAAAAAGTCCCTGAGCCAATAAACATGGAAATGTGAAATCCCTTTTAAATCCCTGGTACCAGGCGCGTAGCCAGGGGGGGGGGGAACAAATCCCCGAACGTAAACAGATATTTCTTTATTTCGCTAGGATTTTTATGAAAAAATCAACCACAAAAATGTTTTTTGTCCCCCAATCTCTTCAAATTCCTGGCTACGCCCCTGCCTGGTGCATTTGATGATTAGCTTCGGGATTTAAAAAGGATTCCACACTTTCATGTTTATTGGCTCGCTCAGGGATTTTTTAGGAGTTTTGGGATTTTCCAGGATGAATCCTGAGTTTTCGCGCCTTGATTTAAAGGTTTTAATGAAAAAATCCTGAAAAACCCCTCCCCTTATAATTCCCCCCCCCCCCCCGCCTTAGAATTCCTGGCTACTCCCTTAGACTTGTTTCTATTAATCCAAATTCAAACTCCACTTTTAGTGCTCTTCTGCATCTGACAACACATCCGGAATCAAATGTGGAACGAGACAATTAGTAAAACAGCTGATTTATGGTGGAACTGTCACAATTCATGGGGAATATCCTTGGTATGTCTTAACTTAGATTTTTCTTAACCAGTGATGACCTACTCGTGTGCCGCGGCACACGATTGTTCTGTGAAAAGTTTCGAAATATCCAGAAACCAAGGGTTTGGTACTGATGAAATGATCAAAATTGATCAAAAATGATCAAATTGTAATTATTAAGTTCCACACCCTTGCCAGAAACCGCATGCTTTATGCGGTTTTTGTAATGACTTACAACCAACTGTGCCGAGCCACAAAAAAAGGTTGGACACCACTGTTCTTGACCAATAAATTTAATTTTCAATTTTCAGGAATGTGGCACTGACAACAAGCAACGGTGACTTCTTTTGTGGTGGATCTCTTGTGTCAAACAGACATGTCGTTACTGGTGAGCCTTGAAACTTTAAGCAAGTCATGTAATAAGCTTAACTTTTTACCTTCTAGCTGCACATTGCATTAAAGGAAAGCGCGACAGCCATAAATTCGGAACCAATGACTTCTCTGTTCTTCTCGGCGTTCACAACCACTCAAAGCCTGATGAAGTTGGACGAATTTCAGTTAATGTAGCCCAGATCAATGTAAATCCAATTTGGAATACAGACGTCAACAGCTATGATGGAGATATTGCAGTTCTGGAACTAGCAAATGAAGTTCAGTTCAACAGTCACATTCGTCCGATTTGTTTAGCTGATGAGAACACAGAAGTTGGTCAATCATCAAAAGGAACTGTCGTTGGATTTGGTCATAATGAAAATGGAACAATTTCGCACATCGCAAACAAGCTGGAAGTTCCAATTCGTAGTTATCATAGCTGCACAAGTTACAGTCGAGATCATCATTCGTACATAAGTTTTAGGACATTTTGTGGTGGACCGGCTGATGGACGTAGTGTATGTGCTGGAGATAGTGGAGGTGGTGTTTATGTCCAGCATAATTTTCGATTTTATCTTCGTGGACTTGTCTCAGCATCGCTTATGAATGCAATGAACCAATGTGACGTCCACAGGGAAGCAATATTCACGGATGTCACGAAATATTATGACTGGATAGAAAGAATTGTAAGGACTGCACCAAAAGCTAGACTTGTGGTTCAGTCGACTACAGCAGCAACAACAACTACTTCTAGAAGTTATTCAGTTCCTTCTAGATCAACTATGAGATATGCTTTTGGTGGACCGGTTTGGGATTAAATATATGAGGACCTTAATCAGCAGTAGAATTAAGAAATTAACGCAAATAGCAACTTGTGCCATTCGGGGAACTACAAAATATTTTTCAGTAAATTTATGAGATTGTTGCAATTGAACTGAAGGTTGTAAGGCATTGCATGATTTAATCTACAAAAGTTTGTCATGCAACTGTGTAACTTTATAGGAAACCTTCAGATTTTATTGTGCTGTCATTTTGGATGTTAGAATTTAAGTTTTGGTGTGAAATTCATTTCAATTAAACAATAAACTCGTTAAAAATGAAGAAAGTAAATTTTTATTTTAAAAACACAACACTTCATGGCTTCTCGTACATCTCTAACGGGAAGAATCGTGTCGAAAAGTAAGAACTTAACCTCAAAATTATCAATTTAATCTCAAGTTATCATAAAAATTTTCAGAATTTTCTGGATTTGCGCAATTTCATGCTCTTTTATTTGTTGTTTTATTCTTCTTTATGAACTAATTTTGAAGGTCCAGAACAATCCAATTATGGTCGTTTGGCCTGAAACAAAAACACACATCAAGGATGTAAGTTGATTCTGGGTTTGTATAATGATAAGTTTAAAGCTGAGCTGAATTCAAGCTAAGCTGAGTTTATGCAAAGCTGAGCTGAGTTAAAGCTTTGCTGAGTTTATGTAAAGCTGAGCTGAGTTCAAGCTTTGCTGAGTTGATGTAAAGCTGAGCTGAGTTAAAGCTGAGCAAATTATAGCTAATGTAAGCTTAAAACTGAGCTTAGCTTAAAACTGAGCTTAGCTTAAAGCTGAGCTGAGCTTAAAGCTGAGCAAATTTTAGCTTTTGTGAGCTTAAAGCTGAGCTTAGCTTAAAGTTGAGTTGAGCTGAGCTTAACTTAAAGTTGAGCTGAGTTCAAGCTTTGCTGAGTTGATGTAAAGCTGAGCTGAGTTCAAGCTTTTGCTGAGTTAATGTAAAGCTGAGCTAAGTTAAAGCTTTGCTGAGTTGATGTAAAGCTGAGCTGAGTTAAAGCTTTGCTGAGTTGATGTAAAGCTAAACTGAGCTTAAAGCTGAGCTGAGTTAAAGCTAGGCTGAAATTGAAGCTTTTCTGATTTTGAAGCTGCATCTTGTTTGCGTAAGACTAAGTTCTTATAACCAATTTAATGACAATGTCCTTTTAGATCCCATTCCCAGCTATCTCATTCTGTGCTGAATCAATAATCGAAGATAATTATGAAATATTCTTCTCACTATTAACGACCAACAATGTCTCATATCCAGAATATTTAAAAGTTTGCACATCTTATTGGGAAAATTGTGAATATCCAACAGACATTCACTGGCAAAAGTTTGTATTCTACGCTCAGCACATGATCTTTCATCATGCCGTTTGGATTAATAAATTTAAAATTTATGAAAATGTCACAATGTCACCATTTGGCTGGTGCTACACATTCAATATTGTAGATGAGACTGAAATGTTTCAAGAAAATTCTGTGGCTGAATATTTTCAATATCAAGTTCCACTTACTGATCCCGAAACTTCTTCAAACTTACTCAATTATTCAGTCACTCCACCGCTTTTCACATCCAGCAAAGATGAAGGTTTTCAAGCTACACTCCAAAATGATAAATATCCAACAATCAAGTGTGAGCATATTTCAGACGCACCATGTGCTTACTTTGAGACCACACGGATTGTCATTCATCCGTCTAATGAGCTACCGGATATAAGACATAGACATTTAATTATGGATTTTCAGAAAATGTTTAAAATTACAATTGAGCCCAATATTAAAATTTCGGATGAGACACTTTTGTCACTGGATGTTGATGAGTATGGAGCTTAGCAAGTGGTTTGGTGCTTCTTTAAGATTCCTCAATCTTATTTAAATATCGCACCTCCTTGCTATGTAACTTTAAGTCAATTTTATCAATTTTAACACATTTTTCCCTTCCAGTCGTCGCTGTTATAAGCCAAACGAGCACATCCTTCAATATTTCAAGACCTACACGTCCATAAACTGCTTGAGAGAATGCGAAAGCTCATTTATTCTACAGAAGTGCGGCTGTGTGCCTTATTATTTCATCAGTAAGCAATAAAGTCATAAAAATGAGTTTTTTTCATGAATTTTAAATATTTTTCAGACAACGACACGTCCTTGATATGCAGCACAACTCAACTCGACTGTTTTAATCGTGAATATGAAGAGTTTGATGAAGTCAAGTGCAGGTGCTACCCGCCATGTGAGGAGACAACTTATGAATTCATCATGCAGAAGATGTTGCTGGTTGAAATGACCGCACGAACTTCAAGTTTCGGTGTCAATATGAAGATGAGTGCAATTTTCAAGGATGACAGCTTTTATCCACAAATAAGACGGAAGTACTTTACAATGATCGATTGGTTCTCATTTGTTGGCGGAATTCTTGGATTATTTTTTGGATTCTCATTTTTGTCAGCTTTTGAGGTTATTTTTCATGGATCGAGAGGTCTTTTTGAAGGAAAATGTCAATTTTCATGGAGATTCCAAAAGATGCTTAGTAAGCTAAGAAGATTGCAAGTTGAGGTCAAAAGAGGAGGAACATTGAAAGATTCAATTGTGAAATACTGCAGCGAAAGTTCAATTCATGGACTGAGTTATATGCTGGACCCAGAATTCAAAACCTTAGAAAGGTATTTTAAGTTGTTTATTCATTCTGCCAGGTCCTATTCAGCAACCACAGCTTCTTAACATTAAAATTCACCTTTCAGATTGTCTTGGCTGATCTCATTCATCCTCTCAATCACATCCTGCATCTTCATGATCCTCAAACTAAAAGATAAATTTGCAATCGATTCATTGTCAATAACATCAGTAAGTAAGTCCTTTAATGTCACTCAAATTCCATTTCCAGCTGTATCAATCATGGAGTTTAGTGAAATTGAATGTAATGTTAATAAATATAAAGTTGATGCAGCATTTGTTGAGTGCTATAAGGATAAGGATTTTGAGGGTGACTTTACAAACTTTACGTGTGATGCGGAAAAGCCAAAAACTAGAAGAATTTCGAAATACTGCAGAGATTTTGGGTAAAGTATGAAGTTGGTCATGATGGCTATTAGAATTGACTTGGGGGGACAACAACTGCCTTTAAAAATTATTTTGCAATTTTTTTCTACTGGAAAAAATTGTTTTGCAACTAGTTGTTATCCCCCTGCCTTGAAAGTTTGACAAATTACGTCATATTCTTGAACTAAAACCTTCGTAAGACTTAAAAGCTATTTTAAATAACCCAAAATGTATTTTATATCCAACTCTAACCTCAATCCTTAACCTCCCAACAGAAAGCTGATAAAGCCAATAATTCCATCCCTTGAAAGACAACATGACTTTATTCCAGAAGTTCCAGATAAATTGAAAAACTTTAAAAATTATGGACATCAAATTGTGCCTTTTATGAAGAAGTTTGGCATGCAAATTAAGCTCATCAAGATGAAGTTGTTTTGGGAACAAGACGTTGAAGCTCCTGTCGCAAATTTATTTACTGGAATGGGACATGGATATAGCTTCAATATTGCAGCAGATGATGATATGTTTTATGATGTGAGCAGGTAAGCTGTGACAGGGTTGGAATGGTACAGCAGCTGAAAAAAGAAGATCTAAAGGTTTAGTTCTAAGTCATAGAGTCGCTAAAAGCTCACTTAACAGTACAAAACAGCTTTATTGATGCTAATTAAGCACTAATTTGACATTAACAAAGTTTTAGGATTCACTGTGTCTAGTTTTGACTCATTGGTTGCCTTTAAAATGTTTCTGGATCCTCAAAGTAATCTGATTGATAAGCAATCATAGTTCCTGCACTTAAATACTATCTCCATCCGAATAGACCTGCCTCACTTTATCAAAGGCCTCACTTTCAATTAAACTCCATTTCAGTATCTCACCAGACTTTTCCTACAACATCACCAACTCATTTCCTGGTGGAACACAAGTCAATCCATCCAAGTTTCCTTGGAGATCAAAATTTGCTGACCAACAATCATTCATACTTATAATGAATACACATGAACGGTACGTCAGCCAGACAGCTGCATTTATTCATTCACCATTTGAGTATCCAATTCAGCTACTGGACGATGACCAAAATATTGTGATGGTCCAAATGATTAAGACTGTTCAGATTCTATTGACACCTGAGGTTGTCACAGTTGGTGAAGGATTTGCAGCTTTGCCATTGAATCGACGGATGTGCTTTTTAGAAAATGAGAGAAGATTGAAGTTCTTCAAAGTTTACACTCAACGGAACTGCGAACTCGAGTGTCTGTCTCAAAAAATGCTCAAATCTTGCAATTGCATTCCCTTTGATATCATCAGATTGAATGCTACAAAAGTCTGTGAAATCCCTGACTATGCATGCGTCCAAAAGGTTCAAACTGAGACAATTCACAGAGAATCTTTACAAAAGTCATGCGAATGCCTTCAACCTTGCAACTACATCAACTACAACTTTGAGTACAGTGAAATTAACCACAAACAAGAAGATGATGATGATAATCGAATGGAAGTTGGTGTCCTAACGATTAAGTTTAAAGATAATGAGTTTACAGCTATGCAACGAACCAGACAGTTGACAATTTTTGATTTTTTGAGCTACATTGGGGGACTTTTGGGACTTTTTGCTGGCATTTCTGTGCTGTCAATTTTTGAAATTTTTTATTTCTTTACATTGAGGTTGATTTGTGAGATTTTGAGGGTCAAAAGAGGTCATATGACGGTTGAAGCCAGGCATTATGTGCTGGTTGTTGCTGAATCCAGTTCTGCGTAGTTTTTTTTCTCAAATTCCTGGCTAAGCCCCTGCCATCTGCTATTGTAATCTATTTTCAGCCTTATCTAAAGCAGTGTTAAGACATTCAGCATAAAATTAGTGTAAAGGAACGAGATTGCATGCAGCATGACATTTTATATTTTAAGCATGCAAAGCTCACAATGTTTTGTAGCTTTAATCATAAAATATCACTTCTTGAAAGCAAAGCATTCGATTGTGTAGCTTATTTTTTAATAATTTTGGAATAATTCACAGTTCAGCATAGTCTGCAATATAAAATTCCCAAAATATGAATAAATTGAATGTTTATTTCGAGAACACAACGCTTCATGGCTTCTCGTACATCTCTGGACGTAGTCATTGGACTGAAAAGTGAGAATTGAACTTCAGATTTCCTTGAATTAAATTAAAAATAAATTAATTTCAGATTTTTTTGGATTTTCTCAATTTTGTGTTCATTTACTTGCTGCTTTATCCTCCTTTATCAGCTGATTATGAAGGTCCAGAGCAATCCAATCATGATTGTATGGCCAGAATCAAAGACGAACATCAAGGATGTAAGGCTGATTATTTGAGATCAGTTGTGGGCATGTCACTAGACTGAAGTATCCCAAGTAGCGATAGGAACAAGCTAAATGGTCTTTAGGGTCCGAAATTAACGGTCATTTTTTAAATAAGGACAATCGATTTTCAGGAATTTCTATTGTTCGTTTCTTGCTGACCCCCCTCCCCTCCTATACGTCATAAGTGAACGGCCCCTTAATTAATCAACTTATCTTTCAGATTCCATTTCCAGCTGTTTCATTCTGCGGCGAATCCTTTGTCATTGACGATTACGAAATATTCTCATCAATTTTGAAGACCAATAATGTGACATATCCAAAATGGCTTGATGTGTGTACAGAACAAGAAGTGCTTGGCGACTGCGAAATTCCAGAAATTCATTGGAAAAATTATGAGTTTTACACTAGTTTGATGACTTTTGTTGATGCTTCCTGGATTGAAAAGTTTAAGATTTTTGAACACATGACAATGACACAATTTGGCTGGTGCCATACATTCAATGTTGTGGACCAGGATTGAATGTTTTTTGAGCATTCAACAGCTGAACATTTTCAATACCAAAAGCCTAGTCAAGCCACAAATCCTCAAAACTACACAATAAAGACACCATTTTTCACATCCAGTAAAGATTCAGGATTACTAGCAACAATTGAGGAACAAACCAGAACAATTACAATGAATGTTAATGAAGATTCTGATGATAATCGATGGTCATTTCGATCAGCAACAGTTGTTGTAATTCACTCGCCATGGGAGCTGCCAAACACACGACACAGACATTTGTTACTAACTTTTAATCAGCTTCTTAAGGTTATAATTGAACCAACAATCAAAATCACAGATGAGACACTTTTGGACTTGGATGTTGATGAGTATGAGTTAGAATGAAGCTTAGCAAGTGGTTTGGTGCTTTTTAAAGATTCCTCAATCTTGTCCCAGGATTGCACCTCCTTGCTATGCCTACTTAAGTCAATTTTATGAATTTTAACACATTTTTCCCTTCCAGTCGCCGCTGTTACAAGCCAGAAGAGTACATTCTTCAATATTTCAAGACCTACACGTCCATAAACTGCTTGAGAGAATGCGAGAGCTCATTTATTCTACAGAAGTGCGGCTGTGTGCCTTATTATTTCATCAGTAAGCAATAAAGTCACAAAAATGAGTTTTTTCCATCAATTTTAAATATTTTTCAGACAACGACACGACCTTGATATGCAGCACAACTCAACTCGACTGTTTTAATCGTGAATATGAGGAGTTTGATGAAGTCAAGTGTAGCTGCTACCCGCCATGCTATAATGTTGAATATGATACTGTGATGCAAAAGCAGCTTGTTGTTGAAACTAATGTAGAAGTGCCTTAATTTTGATATTTTCAGATTAGTCATGAATAATATTAATTTCCAGGAATTCACAACTATTAACAGCATCAAGGTGATTATGAACTTCAAGGACAACAGCTTCTATCCTCAAATCCGCAAGAAATATTTCGCAATGATCGATTGGTTCTCATTTGTTGGCGGAATTCTTGGATTATTTTTTGAATTCTCATTTTTGTCTGGTTTTGAGGTTATTTTTCATGCCTGGATGTTGATTTCAAGAAGAAGGTCCAAAAAGCTGAATGGAAAGATCGTCAAAAAAGGAATTATCAAAGATTCAATCAAGGAGTTTTTAGATAAAAGTTCAATTCATGGACTGAGTTATATTGGCAGTGGAAGAATTAGATCAATTGAAAGGTAAGGCAGTGCAGGACATAGATAATCAGCTTATAATACCTTATTCCTTTGTATGCTGTTCATAACAGTTTTGATTTAAATCCCTCCGGCTTCATTCTTGACTCTAAAGCTAGCTTATTGCTTAGAACTTATCCACAACCTTAATCTGTCATTCCAGGCTGTCCTGGCTCATAACATTCACCTTATCAATCTCATCTTGTGCCTACATGGTTTATCAACTTGAGGACAAGTTCATCGTCTATTCAGTGTCAATAGCAACCGACAGCAAAGTTATAAATGTCACTGAAATTCCATTTCCAGCTGTGTCAATCATGACATCCAGTAATTTTTTATGCAATCGAATTCAGTATGAACAGGACATTGCTAATCTTGAATGTTATAAGGATCTTGATTTTTTGGGAACTCCTGTAAAAGCTGGATGTAAAATGAACTTGCCAAAATTAACTAAGAAGGATATGGATGAGGATTTGAGGGATAAAAAGAACTGCTACAGCTTTGGGTTGAGTATTAATGAATAATAGCTAGGCTGGAGGGTTGATGTGATCCTCAGTTTGCTAGAAACTTAAATTTACTTCTTTTTTACAGAAAATTAATCGACCCAATAGCTCCAACCGAGAACAGACCCGAAACCTTTATCCCCAGTGTCCCAAATCATTTCCAAAACTATACAAATTATGGACATAAAATTGTGCCTTTTATAAAAAAGCATGGCATATTTTATAAGTTGTTCAATATGCAGCTGTTTTGGGAGCAAGAATTTGCAGCTCCTGTAGCTACTTTCCTGACTGACATGGGATTTGGATACAGCTTCAACATTGCACCTGTTGAGGATATGTTTTATGATAAAGAAAGGTAAAATTATAGAAATTGAACAATTGGTTGATTCAAAGTTGTTATTAGAAGCTAGGAGAGGTTGACTGGCATGTAGATTTGTAGACAAAAGCAGACAAAAATTGCCCAGACAGCAAACGACGTCAAAAAAGCTGTTTGTTTGGCTCTCAAAGATCTGTTTTATTTTAAACAAGCTTTACATTGACCAAACAGCATCTGTTGCCGCTTTTATGCTTCATTTTACTACACATTGGGACTAAACTAGACAGCAACACAAAGCATGGCCTAAAACTAGCTCTTTCATTCCAGCATTTCACCAGACTTCACCTACAACATCACAAACTCTTTTCCCGGCGGCACCAAATTTAAATTCTCAAAATTTCCATGGAAGTCGAGGTATGGAGATCATGAGACATTTACAATGATGATGGCTAGTGACTTTAGGTACTTAGATCATTCAACAGTTTATATCCATTCGCCATTTGAGTATCCAATTCAGCTATTGAACTATGATCAGAATATTATTATGGTTCAAATGTCAGTGACTGTTCAGATTATTTTGAAGCCAGAGATTGTCACAGTTAGCAGAGAATTTGCAGCTCTTCCATTAAGTCAACGGATGTGCTTTTTGGAAAATGAAAGAAAATTAAAGTTTTTCAAAGTTTACACGCAACGAAACTGCGAGATTGAGTGTTTGGCTGATAAACTTCTAAAATCCTGCAATTGCGTTCCATTTGACGTGCTTAGATCCAAAAAGACAAAAATCTGTGAAATCCCTGACTATACATGCGTCCAAAAAGTTAAAAATGAATCAAATCATAGAGAAACTTTACAAAAACTGTGTGACTGCCTCCAACCTTGTAATCACATCAACTATTACTTTGAATACAGTGAAATTAGCCACAGTCTGGAAGATGACAATGATCAGCGAATGGAAGTTGGTGGACTAGTAATTAAGTACAAAGAGAACGAGTTCGTCGTTACACAGCAAATTAGACAATTCAAATTTTTTGATTTTTTAAGCTACATCGGTGGACTTTTGGGACTTTTTGCTGGCATTTCTGTGCTGTCGATTTTTGAGATTTTTTATTTTTTTACATTGAGGTTGATTTGTGAAGTTTTAAGGGTTAAGAGAAGTCAGGTGAAGGTTGAAGTTAGACATAATGTGCTGGTTGTTGCATCAAAAGCTATCGAATGAGCGATTTTGAGGTTATGTTTGTGTTTTGGATCATGATTTTCAATTGTGACATGCAAATGATTTTTTGTCCTATCTTGATGACCTCAAACTTGCCTTTGGCATATAAAATAATAATTTTAAAGATTAAAATAAATCAAATTGAATTTATTTTCAAGTTGATAGGCCGAAACTTTGATCTTAGAGGCTTAAAACTACAGAAAAATGATGAAATTAAATTATTATTTTGAGAACACAACACTTCATGGCTTCTTTTACATCACTAATGGGAGGCATTGGATTGAAAAGTAAGAAATTATATTCAAAAAAATAAAATGCAAGCTTTTTTAAAATTTTCAGATTTTTTTGGACATTGGCGTTGCTTTGTTCCTTTATTTGCTGTATTTTCCTGTCCTCCGAGCTCATCATTAAGGTTCAGACCAACCCAATAGTCATTGAACGTCAGGACATTGCCATTAATATTGATAAAGTAATAAAAATTCTTTTTTTAAACCTTTTTGGGTTCCAATCACATATGACGTCATTTATTCCAGATTCCATTCCCAGCAATCTCAATTTGTTCTAGTTCCATACAAGATGGAAGTCAGGAACGATTAATGCTGCTTCAAAATATCCATAATGACACCTACAAAGCTTATATTCGTACCAAATGTAAATTTATTTGGTCTCAATTTGAATGTTACAAAAATGACTTAGAAGCCATCATATATGAACTTGCTGTGCATTATTGGCTGCCAATTAAGGTTGATTGGATAGGAAAGTACAGAACTGATCCAATTTTAACGATTTCTCATTTTGGATGGTGCAAAACATTTAATATAATTCAGGAGGACGACATGTTCCATAATAATTCAATAGCTGACTATTTTGCTTACAAGTCTGAATCACAGCCATTAAATTTGACAAAAGTTCCATTAACAACATCAAATAAGAATCTTGGGTATCGAAGCATTGCAACTTTACCATTAAATGAATTTCAATTGTGTAATTTTCTGACCGGATGTAACGCAAACAGCATGGACAAGACTCTTGTAATTCATTCATCATTTGAGATGCCTGACAAAAGACACAAGATGGTTAGGCTGCAAGTTAAAGAGCTGACAAAGATCGCTATTGTGCCTAATATAAGGATTACTGATGAGACACTTCTGTCGTTGGATGTTGATGAGTATGTAGCTTAGCAAGTGGTTTGGTGCTTCAAGAAGATTCCTCAATCTTATCCGAGGGTTGCACCTCCTTGCTATGTCAATTTTATGAATTTTAACACATTTTTCCCTTCCAGTCGCCGCTGTTACAAGCCAAACGAGCACATCCTTCAATATTTCAAGACCTACACGTCCATAAACTGCTTGAGAGAATGCGAAAGCTCATTTATTCTACAGAAGTGCGGCTGTGTGCCTTATTATTTCATCAGTAAGCAATAAAGTCACAAAAATGAGTTTTTTCCATCAATTTTAAATATTTTCAGACAACGACACGTCCTTGATATGCAGCACAACTCAACTCGACTGTTTTAATCGAGAATATAAAGAGTTTGATGAAGTCAAGTGCAGGTGCTTTCCACTTTGTGAGGATGTTGGATATGAATTCAGTGCCCAGAAGGTCGCAATGATTGCGTAAGGAGATCAAAATGACTGATTTTTTAATAAAATTTAAAATTCTTCTTATTTACTGCAATTTAAGCTCATTTAAAGAAGCAGCACTGATGACAACAGTGGCAAACTTTAAGGACTCTAACTTCTATCCACAAATAAGACGGAAGTACTTTACAATGATCGATTGGTTCTCATTTGTTGGAGGCATTCTTGGATTATTTTTTGGATTCTCAATTTTGTCAGCTTTTGAAGTTGTTTTTCATGTCTGGATGTTGATTTTTGACAGGAAATCACTTGTACATGATCAAGTTAGAACAAGGCTCAAGGGAGACATGCCATTGAGACAGTTTCAAGCATATTTAAGGGAATTTTTGAAGAATTCATCGATTCACAGCTTTCAATACATTTCAAATCGTGAATTGGGGATGATTAAAAGGTTTAAGGCTGTTATAAGCTCCAATCTTTATATTTAATCAATATTTCATTCCAGACTCGCATGGACAGTCTCATTAATGCTCTCAATCACCTCCTGTGCCTTCATGATTCCTAAATTAAATCAAAAGTTTACAGTTGACTCAATTGCTATTGTTACAAGTCCAAAAATCATGAATATTACAGAAATTCCGTTTCCCAGCATTACAATTATGAGTTCAATTCTGTTGGACATGTCAGGTGCTATGTATGAAGAAGCTCAAGAGTTGAGTATAACCTTAAAATCCTTTAATATTTCTGTTGATCCATAATTAATTCGAATTTTGTCATAAACTTGATTAAATGCCTCAAAAATCACTTTATTTCTCAGACCAGTCACTAAAATGCTCCTGTACCTTGAAACATCCATCGATCCACAAGAAAACGACGCATACACGTTCAATGATTCAATTTACGGACCACAAATTGTGCCAGCTTTAAAAAAATATTCGATGCTGTATAAAAGTAACATGGTGACTATGAAATGGAATGAAAAATTGGCAGTTCCAATTGCGCAACTGTTGACATCTTTTGGATTTGGATACAACTTTAATATGATTGATTTTGATGAAATGTTTGATAAGATGAGGTAAGGTTTTGTGGATTTTTGAGGTTATGGGGGGAAAGGGGGGAGAGGGGGGAGAGGGGGAGAGGGGGGAGAGGGGGTAGAGGGGGTAGAGGGGGTAGAGGAGGGAGAGGGGGTAGAGGAGGGAGAGGGGGGAGCGGTGGATTGTTTGCTGGGGAGAGGGGGGAGAGGGGGGAAAGGGGGGGAGAGGGGGGAGAGGGGGAGAGGGGGAGCGGTGGATTGTTTGCTGTTAAGTAGCGAGCATCGATGGCTAATTGTGATACTTTTGAGGAGTCTGAACAATATAACAGCATCACTACCACATCTCTAACTCCCCTCAATGTTTAAAACAGTGGTGTCAAACCTTTTTTGAGCTATAGCACACCTTGCTGGTAAACCATGAACAAAACCGCACTGTTCGTGGGATTTATTGAAGTTTTCGTGGCTCTCAAGTGTGCCGCGGCACACAGATTGCCCATCACTGCCTTAAAAAATATTAATAAAGATGAATTCTGTTCCAAATTTTCAGCGTCTCAACAGACTTCCTTTACCACAGCAACATCAATCTTCAACAAGGATCCAAAATCAACACAACAAAGCATCCATTGACATCACCATACAATAAGGATAAAGCTCTCAATGTTCACATCTCGTCAGAGCAGTTTAATCCAATTTTTTACATCCATTCACCTGTCGAGTATCCAATTGACTTATCAATTGATATTATTAATGCTTTTGAATGGGAATTGGAAACGAAATTTGATGTTCTGATCATTCCAGAGATTATTACATCCAGTGACGATTTTGCTCGTCTTTCATTTAATCAGCGGATGTGCTACATGGAAAATGAAAGGCAATTAAAGTTCTATAAAGTTTACACACAGAGGAACTGCGAGATTGAGTGTCTATCGGAAAAGTTACTTAAAACCTGCAATTGTGTCCCATTTAATGTCATCAGGGACAATAAAACGAAAATTTGTGAATATCTTGACTACACCTGCGTCAATAAAGTTCAAAGTGGATATTCGGATGGTCAAAATTTTTTTAAAAGCTGCAACTGCCTGCAATCATGCAACTTCATCACGTACAATATTGAAATTATTAAGACGAGACAATTTGATGATGAACAAGTTTTGACATTTAGCAGTGATTCTGCAAGAATTAGGTTTAAGGACAATGAGTTTACAGCTATGCAGCGTGTCAGGCAGTTTACAATTTTTGACTTTTTGAGCTACATTGGTGGACTCTTGGGACTTTTTGCTGGCATTTCTGTGCTGTCGATTTTTGAGATTTTTTATTTCTTTACTTTGAGGTTGATTTGTGAGATTTTGAGGGCCAAAAAGAGAAAAGGGAGCATTGGATGTGCTGTATAAGCTCAAAGATCTACAAAAAAAATCATCTACATGACTCAAAATTTAATTATAAATTGTGCATCACAAGCTAGGCTACGAGCCTGAAATCTAGCCTGAAACTGAACAATTTCATATAAAAATAAAAATTATTATTTTTCAAAATTTGAATTTATTATTTTTATTAAATTTTTCATTTTGCCGATTTTTCTGTCACTTTTATCTTCGTTATAGTCAATAGTCATGCAAACAATAAGTGTGTCAACAACCATTTCATATGAACTGACGCATCCATGCACGATGCCAATGATGTAAAGCAGAATTGCATATTTAATTGATGATTTTGTTTCTGTGATTGTTAAAAGCTTTGGATGCTATAAAATAAAAAATAAAATTATTTTAAACTTTTTTTTGATTTTTTTCAAAAAATTTCAAATTTCAAATTTTTTGATTTTTTTTAATTTTTTTTTCATATTTTTTCAAAGTTTTTCAAATTTTTTCAAAGTTTTTCAAATTTTTTCAAATGTTTTCAAATTTTTTCAAATTTTTTCAAATGTTTTCAAACTTTTTTCAAATTTTTTCAAATTTTTTTCAAATTTTTTCAAATGTTTTCAAACTTTTTTCAAATTTTTTCAAATGTTTTCAAATTTTTTCAAATGTTTTCAAACTTTTTTCAAATTTTTTCAAATTTTTTCAAATTTTTTTAAGTTTTTTCAAATTTTTTCAAACGTTTTCAAACTTTTTTCAAATTTTTTCAAATTTTTTCAAATGTTTTCAAATTTTTTCAAATGTTTTCAAACTTTTTTCAAATTTTTTCAAATTTTTTCAAATTTTTTTAAGTTTTTTCAAATTTTTTCAAACGTTTTCAAACTTTTTTCAAATTTTTTCAAATTTTTTCAAATGTTTTCAAATTTTTTCAAATTTTTCAAATTTTTTCAAATGTTTTCAAATTTTTTCAAATTTTTTCAAATTTTTTCAAATTTTTTCAAATGTTTTCAAATGTTTTCAAATGTTTTCAAATGTTTTCAAATGTTTTCAAATTTTTTCAAATTTTTTCAAATGTTTTCAAATTTTTTCAAAGTTTTTCAAATTTTTTCAAATGTTTTCAAATTTTTTCAAACGTTTTCAAATGTTTTCAAATTTTTTCAAATTTTTTCAAATGTTTTCAAATGTTTTCAAATGTTTTCAAATTTTTTCAAAGTTTTTCAAATTTTTTCAAATGTTTTCAAATTTTTTCAAACGTTTTCAAATGTTTTCAAATTTTTTCAAATTTTTTCAAATGTTTTCAAATGTTTTCAAATGTTTTCAAATGTTTTCAAATTTTTTCAAATTTTTTCAAATTTTTTCAAATTTTTTCAAATTTTTTCAAATTTTTTCAAATTTTTTCAAATGTTTTCAAATTTTTTCAAATTTTTTCAATTTTTTTTCAAAGTTTATCAATTTTTTTCAATTTTTTTCAATTTTTTTCAAGTTTTTACAAATTTTTTCAAATTTTTTCAAATGTTTTCAAATTTTTTCAAAGTTTTTCAAATTTTTTCAAATGTTTTCAAATTTTTTCAAATTTTTTCAAATTTTTTCAAATTTTTTTAAATTTTTTTCAAATTTTTTTAAATTTTTTTAAATTTTTTAAAGGTTTTTTTGATAAATTTTACCTCCACAGCAATGAACATAAATGCCCACGTAAAGGACAGGAACAGAAAGAATTTCCAAACAGCATGCACAAAAATGATGTACAATTTCAAAGGCACAAGTTTGTCTGCATTAGTCGAGACAAGGACAGTAGAAATAGTCTTAGCAGACACAGCAAGAGACGTTCCATTTTTTATCACATAAATGTAGGAACTGCGAACTTGATATTCCAATCCACTATTCTTTAGGTTCTTGACGGTTTCATCTCTGATGTTCTGAAATTAGGTTTTGTATTTTTTTTATATTTATTGGTTACAATGGGATCGTTCATCAATGACGTCATGGTTTTCGGAAGGGGATGGCGGTTGTGAGTTTAGAATATTTTGTGAAAGTTAAAAACAATTTTTTTTAAAATGCTATTTTTTTTGTCTAGGTGGGGAAACGGGGGGGGGGGGGGGGTTGAGGGTTTGGAGAGAGGTGGGGGTCGTAAGGGGAAAAAATCATTTTATTTCCGTGACGTAATTTGCGAACGACCTTTAAAGGAAACTTAAGTTCTTAGTCAGTGTTTCACAAACTATGCTCCACGGAACTTTCCTGCTTAGAGTAGAATCCAAGTTACGTCAATAGTGGTTGCGAATTTGGCATGAAGACGTACTTTATAGCTTTGTGGCTGTTCTGACTATTCTGAGTAAATAGGTTCGACCAAAATCTCATTTTTACCTTGAAATTTTTAACCAAAACCTTCAAAAAGTTCGCAATTGTCAGCAGCGTTCCAAGACAAACAGTTCCTAGATGATATCTTACTAAGTTCCAAAATATTGTTATCATTTGTTGCCACATGCTACACCTGTCCTCATCAAAATAAGCCTTTGACGTCACTCCAACCACAAGAAAGTTTTGACATTCAAAGATGAAAATAATCACAAAAATGTAAGAATAAATTGTAAATATTAGTGAAATTTCAGCAAAATAAACTGTCGAGTCTGGATTTGTGAGGATTTTGCAGAGTTGGTAGAAGAACCTTGTTGCAATCGATGCCACAAATAATGTCTGAAATTACATTAAAATTCAAGATTTTCCGCAACTTAAGCATAAGCTTGAGTATTTTTACTAGAACGGGCAACAAGCATATGAACCAAATATCCCTAATAAACATTGTCGATTCCTTAAAGACAGCAGCAACGACTGGAATTTCATACTGTAGAGAAATGATCAAAACCACAGCAGCAATCGCCAAAAAGACAGCAATAAATCCAAAATAAATCTTAATTTTCGCCACACTCGATCCAAATCCAACAAGTGCCACGACACATCCGATGCTTAAAGTCCAAATCATAAACTTTGGGAAATGCGCAAAATAGCTCAAAATTGCCAAATTCAGGATGAAAATCAACAAAGTTAAGAATGCAATCAGTTTTGTTGGTCCAATAAAGTCAAAATTCCACAGCATTATGTTGTCAAATGGACTAAAAGATGAAAGGAATGGATGTAATTCGTGGGGACGTAAAGCTCAAAACTTACTCTTCCTTTCCAATAAAGTTGTTATTGATGGCTCCGTTTAAAATTACTAGAGTGACCTTTAAATAAATTTAATAAAGCTGTGGATCAAGTTTGTAGGTGCTTAAATGTCATTTATTTGAGTCAAGAGTGCAGCTCGGCTAAGTAAGTTTAAGATAATCAGTAAATCACTTACAGTAATTGCTACAAACGCTCCACATCCCACTAAAACCACAGTATCAGTTAAACTTCGATCTTTGACTTCTAAACGATTTGTTAACTTTTCAAAAATTACCAAATTCTTAAATTTAATTTTTTAAAGCAATTTTAAATTTATTTACCGCTTCCACATCTCTAATTTCACTTGTATCCATTATTTAAGTCTTCTTTTACCAAAACTTGCAACGACACATCTAAATTCTTTATAAGTAGACTTGTATATTCGATTGAATAATTTCAAAACAGCTTAGGAGCAGTTCACCTATGATGTTGCACGAAAATACTATTTTTAAGACCTCATTTCTCCTTATCCCCGACCCCCCGACTTCTTAGACCTTGCCCCTGACCCCCTGACTTCTTAGACTTTCCCCCCGATCCCCCTTGATCCCTCCTGATCCCTTTTAATCCCCCATCCCCCCATTTCCTACCCTTCCCCCACCTATTCCCCATCCCCCATCCGACCATTCATCAGTCCGACCATTCTCTGATCGGCCCAATCGCCCATCCCCCCATCCCCCCATCTCACATCCTCCTTATCCCTTCATTCTCCCTTTCCACTACCTCCACCTCTCATCCCATATCCCCCCATTTTCTCGTCCCCTCATCCAACATGCCCCCTATTCCCCATCTCACATCCCTCTGTTCCTCTGTCCCCCATCTCTTCCCTAACTCCCATCTCGATCCCTAACAACTCACCCCTCCCCCAATTTGTCATAAAATTTTTAAGAGGTAAATTTTCTTTTATTTGAACTATCACAAAATCTCAGACCCCCCCCCCCCTCCCCTGCCCCCTTTCTTGTTAACAGCGTTACATAGTAAGTGAACGGTATCTTATTTGTCTCTAAAATGATTGTCGTATGTAATGATTATGTTTTGGTTAACAACCCAGCAATGTGCGTAAATTCAATGCATGAGTAACCACAGTCATGGTCGATGGGTGACTAAAATTGAAAGAAAATTTAAATTCATTTGAGAATCATCAATACTTGTTCATTTAACGTTGAGTATTTTGAAGCTGTTTACTAGAACAAAAGTGTCAAGCCTTAATCATCACAAACAGGTACTTAAGGCAACTTGCACGCAACAACATCAAATTCCATCAAATGAGAATCTGAAGCTAAGCTGGAGTAACATTAATGCCGAATGTGGAATATGTGACAAAAAGGGATCACAGCGCATCTTTATCCCCGAACAAGGGCATAGTCAGGAAGAAGGGGTGGGTGAGTTTTGGTTTTAACCCCCCCCCCCTTTTTTTCTGATAGTTGACACTTGATATTATTTAACGTTTTTAGATCCAGGAAAAGAGAAAGAAAGAGGGGGAAAGGGGGGAGAGGGGGGAGAGGGGGGAGAGGATGGAGGGGAGGGAGAAGGGGAGAGGGGGAAATAAGGGGTCAGAGGTAACCCCTCCCTCTCCTTTTTAAAAAAGTTGATACTTGATATTATTTAAAGTTTTTAGATCCAGGAAAAGAAAAAGAAAGAGGGGGGAGAGGGGGGAGGGGGAGAGGGGGGAGGGGGAGAGGGGGGAGGGGGGATGGGGAAGAGAGGAGGGAGAGGGGAAATAGGGAGTCAGAGGTAACCCCTCCCGCTCCTTTTTGAAAAAAGTTGACACTTGATATAAAAGAAGATTTCTAATTCCAGTGTCGCTGTCAAACCCCACTTTACCCCTCTTTCCCCATCCTTTATTCAGATTTTTACACCTGAAACTTACATCTTGACATACGAAAGAAAAAATCACATTTACAAGCTAGCTATTATTAACTTTTATTGATCCAATTTATTTTTTTAAACATTTCATCAGCTTTTTCATCATCTGAGAAAATAAACAGCATAAAATCCTTTAAATGTTGATCATTTCGCTTAACATAGCTTCCTTTGGCTTCATTATTTACATAATTTTCAATCTTTTCGGCTAGCTTTGTCTTATCTGCTCCAAAAACATCTTCAAACAATTGTTTATAATCAGAATAAAATAAGGAACTAACTGGATTCACTAAATTGTTAAAACTGGAATTTAAAATAAGATTTTGGAGTTCCAGCACTGACTTTTTATATTTCATAAAGAAATCTTTGACAAAAGCATGAATTTTTGGATTTTTTGATTCAAACGCTAGCACAATTGGCGATGACCACTCAATTGGGGGTGCTGTAAAGTTTGGAACGCCAGTAATTACAGCATGAGGATAATGAAATAAAAAACAATTTAAAGATTCATGATCAAAATTAAAAAATTTCTCAATTATTCCATAAATCAAAGTCAGTGCCTCAAAAGTCAAATAATAATAATCCAAATGGATCAAGCACATGTCCATAAATTCAAAAGCATTAAGACAATTTTGATATTTTAAAATTATTTGAATTTGAATTTTGCTATTGCGACCCAATTTAAGTCTAAAATTTACATAAATTTTTTTTCTAACCTCAAAATTGAAATTTTTATCAACAAAGTCGTAGAATTTTAATAAATTTTTATCAGCATTCCATTGCCATTCATTTTCAACAATGCCTTCAAGCTTTTCAATTGTCTCGTCTGTGATTAATTTTGTGCCTGACTTGTTGAATGTTTCAAGCCAATTTGGATACATTGACAGCTCATTTGAGTCTAAAATGTCGTAAAGAATGTTTACCTCAATTTCAATCACAAGTTCTTCAAGTAAATTGATTTTTTGGTCAAATTTCCAGAATTTACGGAAAATTTCAGCATCAATGCATCCCATTAAGGCATAACTTCTAAATCCCTCTCCTGCATCTTTTTGTAATTTTGAGATTTTTTTGAGAATCACTTTTTTGACTTTTTTATTAATTTTGTGACTTTTTGCTTCATTTATCAAAAAACTGTGAATAAACTCTTGAACCTTTGTTAAGGCACTGCTTTCGTTCATGGCTGCATCAAAAATATTCACTAAAATTTTAATGTCTTCAGCACTAAAGTTGTCGTCGTCGTCACTAAAAATGAATTTCATTAAAAATTGAGCAACAAAGAACTCCGCCCATGTCCTGTGCATGAAATCGATCGATGTATCCAAATTCTCATCTTTTAGGTCCACAATTACGAAGCCGTACCTTTGAATCATGTCGGATGTCCAATTTTTCTTCTCTTTTTTCCACTTTCTAATAATTGACAGATTCTTAAGCTTAAATTTATCTCCAATGATTAATTCTAGTGCCAATATTCGATGGACATCCCAAACCGTCAACTTTGAGTCCTTGTCATGATCCTCAATTGGAATTTTTTCCCCAAGTTCCTTCCTTTGCTTCTCAATCATCAATTCATAAAGTTTAAAATGATAATTAAGGCTAACGATAGTTTCGTCGAGGATGTAAAGTTCCGTGATCATCTGAATCATCATTGGATTGTCCATTGTTTCGCGATATGATTCCAATCGGTGCTGGATGCAAAGTTGGACTTTTCTGCTGAATTCCAAAAGTTTGTCTTCTGGTATTTTATTGACTGTCAATATTTTCTTGATTATTTTCTCTTCTTCATCTGCTGTGCATAGCGCGAAAGTAAATGATGAAGTTTGGAAGAAAGCCTCCAATTTTGAAGCATAATGAGGTCTTGTGGATATCCAAAACTCATTTTTTACGTCACTTTCCATCAAAATTTTGAAGATTTTCGCCAAAATTGTTGTAAATTTTGGGCAAATTTCATCGACGCCGTCAAAAAGCAACACGACTTTTGAAGCTGCAAACAGCTTTGTGAAGATTTTCTGTTCCAATTTTGAGTCTGGATTGACAATTTTAACCAGCATCTGCAGGACTTTGTCACTATTCAGCTCATCAGATGACATTTTTTCGAATATTTTCGCACATTTTCTTAAATTTACGAAAGAAATCCAAAAGTTTGGAAGGCTTTGCTTCAATTTTAAGGCACAATTTTTAAAAATTGTCGTCTTTCCAGTGCCAGCGTGGTCGGCAAGAATGAAAATTTTTGATTTTTCCATATTTTCTCTAACTTGTTCAATGGTTTTCTTATTTTTCTCAAATTCTTCTGGAAAAAATGAATTTTTAAGTTCGGAACTGATTTTGCGGTCCACAAAAAATCTCTCAGTCAAGCCATATTTAAGGTTAAGTTGACAAATTTCACCAAATTCTAATCTCACATTTCTTAACAAAATATCTCGAATGTCTTCAGATTCAAGCAGCTTCAGCACTTCCTCGTCATCTCCAATTAATTCAATAAAGGTTGTTAAAGCTCCTTGAAAAATCAACTTTGAATGCAGAACCTTTGCCTTCATTGGATCTGTAAGATCTGCAAATTTAATCACTTTTTCATCATCTCCAAGTTGTTTCAGCACTGGCAGTGCTTTGTCTAGTTCTGGATCAACAACTTCTCGACAATATTTAAATAACTCCTCAAAAGTTCCTTCCAGTTCCTCAATTTTTGCACTGTCATTGACATAATGCATCAACATTTGTGGCACAGTCACAATCATCTCAGAGTCCTGAACATCCTCAGCATAACTACTGAACACATTCGCGACAATTCGTTCAGCTTCCTCACGTTCCTTACATTGAACCATGACTTGATTCTTAAATCTAGTTCCAATGATACTCTCACCAACTGGAAATGGATCAAAGTTGCGATTCATGAATGCCATAAAAACAGCAAGATGACAAAGCTCGTGAGCCAGCACACCAAACACAGCGAACTTCCTCTCATCGTCTATCAAATGTTTGGCGCCAATGAAGATTGATCCACCTTCGTAGATGATTCCTTTCGAGTAGATTGATGTTGCTGGATCTAAATAGTAAGTTGAGTCGTGCTTGAAGTCGAAATAAATTTTAAGCTTCTTAAATTCAGCAGCAACTTTGAGGATCTTTCTGATAAAGTCATTTTTGTTGAGCACTTCGAAAGCTTCGTCGATAAACTTCCAGTTTTTGTGACTAAGTTTGTCGTTGTTGCCAATCCTTGACTTTGATCTGAGGATGAAAATGTGAGTTTCTGGGAATTCTTTTGCATTTATTTTGTGTTGTTCTCGCAACTTTCGACATTCCTGGATGTACATATTCTCGTAGACTTCATCAAGATCTTCGTGAGTTCCAATTGTGATTCCTTTGGCGAGTAGATCGAAGATCTTGAATTTTCTCATTCTTAAGGAGTAAGCTAGCAGTGATTCACTGTCACGGCTGTAAAAATGAATTAAATTTGGATAAGAATCGATCTTCAACTTGAGAGCATCAAAGTCGTCTTCATCTACATCTTCATGAAGGCTCTCGCATTTATCAACGAATTCTTTCACTTCCTTTGATGCTTTTTTGTACTCAAAATCGAATGGATATCTTGAGTTTGATCTCAGAAACTTCATAATTATGTTATTGATTGTCTGCTTCTGGTCATCGTCATTGACAATTTCAATAAATAACTCCCAAGCCTTATCGATTGCATCATCAGCAACAAAATCATGATTAAGAAGCCTTTCGACGACATTTTGCTGTCTTTTGCATGTTGCTAGAACAAGTAGGTTCCTCCTATCACTGTCACCAATATCTTGAAGATGAAACTTGCTTTTTTGTTGAAAATGTGGAAGAGAACCTGAAAAAGTAAGGTAAAATTAATATAAGTTAAATATGGCTCTTAACCGCTGTGCCAGAATAATTTTAATATGGCTCTTAACTGCTGTGCCAGAATAATTTATATGGCTCCTAACCGCTGTGCCAGAATAATTTTAATATGGCTCTTAACCGCTGTGCCAGAATAATTTAAATATGGCTCATAACCGCTGTGCCAGAATAATTTTTATATGGCTCCTAACCGCTGTGCCAGAATATTTTAAATGTGGCTCTTAACCGCTATGCCAGAATAATTTTTATATAGCTCCTAACCGCTGTGCCAGAATAACTTTAATATGGCTCATAACCGCTGTGCCAGAATGATTTTAAATTGGCTCATAACTGCTGTGCCAGAATAATTTTAATATGGCTCTTAACTGCTGTGCCAGAATAATTTTAATATGGCTCTTAACTGCTGTGCCAGAATAATTTTAATATGGCTCTTAACCGCTGTGCCAGAATAATTAAAATATGGCTCTTAACCGCTGTGCAAGAATAATTTAAATATGGCTCATAACAGCTGTGCCAGAATAATTTTAATATGGCTCATAACCGCTGTGCCAGAATAATTCAAATATGGCTCTTGACAGCTATGCCAAAATAATTTAAATGTGGCTCTTAACCGCTGTGCCAGAATAATTTAAATATGGCTCCTAACCGCTGTGCCAGAATAATTTTAATATGGCTCATAACCACTGTGCCAGAATAATTTTAATATGGCTCATAACCGCTGTGCCAGAATGATTTCAAATTGGCTCATAACTGCTGTGCCAGAATAATTTAAATATGGCTCATAACCGCTGTGCCAGAATGATTTCAAATTGGCTCATAACTGCTGTGCCAGAATAATTTAAATATGGCTCATAACCGCTGTGCCAGAAAAATTTGAATATGGCTCTTAACCGCTGTGCCAGAAAAATTTGAATATGGCTCTTAACTGCTGTGCAAGAATAATTTTAATATGGCTCTTAACCGCTGTGCCAGAATAATTTAAATATGGCTCATAACAGCTGTGCCAGAATAATTTTAATATGGCTCTTAACTGCTGTGCCAGAATAATTTTAATATGGCTCTTAACTGCTGTGCCAGAATAACTTTAATATGGCTCTTAACTGCTGTGCCAGAATAATTTTAATATGGCTCTTAACTGCTGTGCCAGAATAATTTTAATATGGCTCTTAACCGCTGTGCCAGAATAATTCAAATATGGCTCTTAACCGCTGTGCCAGAATAATTTTAATATGGCTCTTAACCGCTGTGCCAGAATAATTTAAATATGGCTCTTAAACTAAAATCTAAAATCTACTCACCAGTTCTTCCATTTTTAATTTCATCTATCAAAAATGCATGGCAAAATGAAGTGACGTCATCCGTGTCGTCATCGTCAATATAAAGTGAGTAAAACTTATCTCGTCCAGCAGTTTTCCAATAAGTTTTGCTCTCGTGTCCTCCAATTGTTGACTGGAACGCTATCAGGATTGAGGATTTTGAAACTAGATCTAGGTTTTCCGGAAGATCATCAATAGCTCCATTAATTCTCAGAATAATTCCAATTAATTGTTGATGACTGCAGACTTTAGAGTCGAACCAATTTTGTGAGATTAGCTGATAGCCTTTAGATGCTGTTGGAATATTAATTATATGCAGGAGGTCGAGAATTGAATTTTGATTGACAACATCTTCAAATCTTTGTGAAAATTCAAATTCATTTAGTGTAAATTCAATTTGATAAATTTTACTCATTTTTTTGAGCATTTCTAAAATTTAAAATAATAATTTTAGTGACCTTGAGCTTTATTTTGTGTATTAACCTCACAATTCTGATTATTAAATGAATGTCACTAGAACTTTGAACAAAAGACTCAAATTTTTAAAAATTATTTTTCACAACATGACAATGACTCAGTTTCAAATGAGTAATAAAAGCGAAAATAATATTTTGATTCGCGAAGATCTCCTCAATGCGTGAAGAGAACGGAAAAAATGCCGGCAACTTATTCGTTCATTCTCTTTTTTTTTGTGAACTTGAAATTGAGATAAAAAAATAATTTTGGAGTGTGTCGAGGATTTAGCTTTGACTTACTTCAAGTGTTTTATGCTAATATTTTAATGTTATGCTGCAGTGATGTCAAACCTTTTTTTTGATTCACGACAAACTTCCCGGTGAGCTATGACCAAAACCGCACACAACATACGGTTTGAGAGTTATCCAAAAAAAAATTCACAACTCAATAGTGTGCCGCGGCACATGGGTCGGCCATCACTGTTATACTGAGTTAACAAAGTTGTAAATTAGTGATATGAAACTTAAGTGAACTGAAAGAAAAACTTTAAAATTATCTTTCGTAATAATTGAACGTCTCCATTTGTTTTCGTTTTCTGGTTTTAGCTCCAGCATTAACTTCTTCAAGTCAGTGTCTTGGGTCTTGCCCCCCCCCCCCCCGCTTTAAACGTTTTGAACCGCAGCGAGTGCACGGCCTAAAACTCTTAAGAGGGGACAATACCATCTTGGCTACGCACCTGCAGTGTAGTGAAGGCACCTCTCAGCCAGCACCTGTATAGGAATATTTCATGGTAAAACCTCCATCATAATAAGTCCAAAATTCAAACATCTAAATATTGATGAGAATTCTGAAAATTTTAAAGTAACCAATATCCAAGCAAGTGATTCAGGAGTTAACACTTGTTCTAAATCTCACAATAGCCAGTCAACTAGCCAGTCAACAGTTTTAGCGATCAATGGTGCTTTTCTTTGACGGTGTTGAAATTGAACCCAGAACTTTTTGCACGTATCACTTAGGCCACTGATTCCATTTTACTATCTGAGGTATGTTTGTGAATTATTTAAGTTAGCAATTGAATGACCATTAAATGATGTTTTGGTAGCTTTAAATTACTGGGACTAAGCTTGATATGATTTATAAGTTGAAAGAGTCATTGTCAAGTTTAGTTGAGACATTTTCTGTGCTTTTATCAAGCAGCTGTTAAATAAATAGCTTTCGTTTGTTTTTTATAATTTTAAAAAAAAAAGCTCAATTAAAGTATAGTTTGGGAACCACTGGATTATTAATGTTTGTTATAAGAGGACCTTCTCATTATTTTTGGAATCATTTTGTGCTCGTTCGTTGAATTGAAAGGAGCTTGTGCAGCTTGGACTGAGGAACTAATTGGTTAGATGTGTTGAATCTGCCTGACCACCTTAATAATCAGTGATTCGTAAAGTAAAATAAACAAGACAGAATTAGACAAAAAAAAAAAACGAAAATTAGTGAAATATTCTTAAAATTTTGTGTGTCGTTGAACTTTAAATTGACATTTTCGCGAGTAAAAATAAACAGCTGATAATGAATTTAAATCCTAAATTTATTTTCTTATTTTTTGTGATTGGAGTTTGGACTTTGCAGTCTATTGATGGCTATAAATGTGATTTTAAGGCATTTTATGGCATTACCTACTACTGCAATATAGTTCCTGATTCAAGTGAAAGTGTAGAAAATCATTTAAAGCATAAAACTGACGACGACGTTAAATTGTTGAGTTTCGATGCAGATCTGCACAACACTTCACATGTTACACAGTCTGAGTCGAGTCCATTTTGTCAACGATTTAAGAATGCTGATGAATTTAAGACATCTGGTAATAAACTTGATTCAATCGATAAAGATGCTTTTAAGAATTGTCAGGACATCAAGACAATTGACATTTGGTTCTCAAATATTCGTGAATTTCCAGAGACTTTATTTTCTGTGAACTCAAAACTGACGCATTTGTGGCTTTTGGCTAATAAATTAACAACATTGCCAGAGAACATCTTTGCCAGCCAGACAGCACTCGTAACATTAAGTCTTAATAGTAATCCATTCACATCCTTGCCGTCAAACATTTTTGATCCATTGGAGAGCTTAAATGAGCTGAGTCTTAGAGAAATCAACATTAAATTTAATCCAATTTGGTTTAAAAACTTAAAATCTTTATTTTCTTTGGATTTATCTCGCAATCAACTTACCGACTTGCCTAAAAATAGCTTTAGTGCTTTGGAAAGTTTAGAACATTTAGACTTAAGCTTTAATCAATTAACAGTCATCCATTCCGACTCATTTGGTCATCTTAAGAGCTTAAAAACTATTTTATTAGAGGAGAACAATGTTAATGCAATTGATGAACAGCTCATTGACGATACAGCCTTAAATCATCTTGACATGGATTCAAACAAGTGCATCAGTGATGTTATTCAAGAAAGAGGGGAACTGAAAGGAAAATTAGCTCAGTGCTTCAGCAACTATCAACCAAGACAGGAGAATTGAAGATTTAAAAGATTTTTTTTTTAATTTTTAATTTTTTAAGCAAATCTTTTTAAAATTTTTTAATTTCATTTTTATTGGCTTAGAAATTTTCAGAGGTGGAGGGTATTTGGGAAAAAAGTGAAGCATGGAAAGGGCCAGGCATTTTTGAGCTGGATGCACTGCAATTCAAATTAAAACAGAATCTAAATGTACCAAAATTTAAAAAAAAATTAAAAATTTGAATAAATTACAAAAATAATGGTTTTTTTATTTCATATCCAAAAACATTATTAACAATTAAATAAAAGCTTCTTACTAAAAGATTATAATTGAAGGACATCTTAAAATTGACAATATTTCTAGTTTAGGACAGGTTTAAATTAAAAATTCAAGAATATTTAGCGCTCTTGTCTCATTTTCTTGAAATTATTATGATTTAATTCTTCGAAACTATATTTAAGGTGAGGATTCCGTCACGTTAAGGTGTCGTTCACTTTTGACTTCCAACATTTAGGGGGGGGGGGGGGGGGTTTCAATAGCGGAGAATTCGATCCCTGGACACCTAATCGGCATGACTTGTAGAATAAAATGACGTAAATTTAAAAATGTCAGTGAAGTTTGGTGATGTAGCAATTGAAAGGTTCTCAAATAACCACTCATGGAAATTCAACATGGAAAATTTCCTGGTCACGAAGGAATTGGAAAAGTATATTTCTGAACCTGAATAGAGAATTGTCCTTGGTCCGATCTAGGTGAATCAAACCTCACAAATTATATGCAATCTTATGATAAAGTCACGCATTTGAACGAAAAATTCACGAAATGATTGAACAATGTTGGTACAAAGCACTCGTTATGATTGAATATTAATGGAACTTAACCCAATCTAGATGAAACTAGGATTGAGGAATCTGTAACGACCTATACAATATAAGTTATGCAGTTACAGAGTTATGCAGTTACAAGGCTATGCAGTTACAAAGTTACAATAAACAATAAGTATAAAAACAATAAACATTAACTTAAACATAAACAACAAAACATTAACTTGTAAAAGAAATGACAAATAAAGTTAGTCAGTCTTATTTTCCCATCCAAACAGTTCAGACATTTTCACTACCCTCTCTTCCAGAGTTTTCATCCTTAACTCAAGTAGTCTTTCTGTTATTAACTAAAGTTAGCTACAACAACAAAGAACATTAAGACGATTAGCAACTCAAAGCGACAATGACTACAAAATCCATCAAACCCAACTTCATGAGCTTCAATACCAAATAAAGCAATTATTAGCAGACGTTATAATGACTGAATGGTAATTAAAGCATTTATAGGAACAGGCGCACTTCCAAAAATCCTCTGCATTTCATTACTTGGAATCAGTAATGAGTAAATGCAAAATCCCATTTCCCTTTCCAAATTTAAAGCAGTTTGACAAAAATATCGATCAATGTTTTAAGTTTATCTATACTTTATTATTTTTTTTACAAGTTTATGAGTCATGGACATACATGAATCATAGTTCACATGAGTCATGAGTCCATGAGTCATGATAACGTAAGATGACACCTTTGGGTGTCATCTTACAGTTATCAATTATAGATTCAGACTATAAATAGCATGTTAGATTTAAGAACAGTGCAGTTTAACTTTAACTTTTATACGATACAGTTATCAATTAACTTTTATAATAAACAGTTCAATAAAAATATTTAAATGTAAAAACCAAGTGATTTAAATACAAAAAACAAGTGGTCCTTCGATAAAGTGAATCTATCTTAAAATTTTGACGGTAAAGTAAATTCTCGCGGCCGGAGGATTTACTGAAGAGCTGTCTACACTTATCCCGGAAAAGATTAGCAAAGTTGCAGACGATTAATTGAAGTATCATCATGGCAGACCAATTTACCAAACAAACAGAATTGATGGATTACCAACAGTCTCTCATCCAAGAATTTGAGGTTCAATTCCTAAAATTAACCTCGGAAAAGAAGGAAAAGAAGGGCAAGATAGAAGTGTTGAGACACTATGAGAGAAATCGGCGAGAATCCTGGAATTGCATCGTTAAGAACCATAGGAAACTAACAAAATATCCTGACTTACCAGATGTTTACACGGATTCTTTTAATTCATTGATACAGACTAATGAGGACTTCAAAAATCGGTTAATGGCATATGCTAGGGAAAACTCGCTAAGTTTGGAAGTTATTGAAGATAAAAATCTTGATACCTCGGATGAAGAAGAGAGTGAAGAAATTGAGGACGAAAAATCGATCCACATTTATACACCCTCGACATCTGACGGAAAATCAAAACATACTTCCAAGAAAGGTGAACTCATTTCACCATCCGATCATAAGGGGGAAGATGTGTCACGTCCGGATAATATAAGTGAACAGAAAAGCCCACCAAAAAAGACTGGACTCAACCAGCAGCAAACCTATGTTCCAGAAAATTCTGAGGACTTTAAGCGAAATCAAAATGTTCCGGCAACTTCCGGAAACTTTCTGCAGAATCAAAATAATGCGCGTTTTACAATCCATGATTCATCAAGTGAATCAAGCTTAAATCAATCATATGTTCCAGTCAATACTGGCGACTTCAATCAAGCAGCAAATAATAGGCTACATAACAATCAAAGCACCAATCAAGGAATCTCAAATCAACAGATTCCAGTGGATCCTGGTACCTTTAATCAACCAACTCATGGTAACCAAGCCACTAATGTTCAGACATCAGATGGACCAAGTTCATCCAACAGTCCACCAAATCAAGAAGCTGGAATTGGAAGTGCAATGAGTGCGATTGTGCAACTTGTCAGCAAACAATTCGAATTAATCCAAAACCAGCAAGAGACTCAAGTCAATACAAGCACTTTGATACAGGAGCAATTTCAGGCCTTTCAAAACCAAATCGCAAAAAATAATGCCGAAAAAAGCTCACTAAAACCGCAACAACTTGAAATTCCGACGTTCAAGGGAGATATCTTGGAATACAAATCCTTCAAAGAAATTTTTCAAAAGGCCATCTCCAAGGTCAAATGGAGCGACCTAGAAAAATTATTATTGCTTCAAAGCAAGTTAAGTGGCAGAGCTCTGGAGAGAGTCAAGCATTTAGCCACTGAAGAGCAAAATTACAGCGTGATGTGGAGCATTTTGGACAAAGAGTTCCTGATAACCAGAGCTTTAGTACAACATAACGTGTCCAAGCTCCTGCAAATTCAACCTGTGAAAGCAAATGACGTGCAAGCAATGAGACAATTTTACTCTACATTGAATACTGTTGTCACAAATTTAACACAACTAACCGATGTACAACCAGCTGAATGGCTGTTTGAAATTGGATACATGCAGGTAGAAAGTCAGATAAAACGGCGTTATGAAGATTTTTTAAGAGCTAAAGAATTGAGAGCAAACGTTGAGACGATAACAGAATTTCTAATGGCCGAGTGCAATCTCGCAGAGGGACAAAGTGGCATAAAAACTGCAGTCACTCATAAAATTAAAGATAATTCATATGACAACAGCAACAACAATAAAAATAAACAAAACAAATCAACGCGTGCTCATGTTACAGTGAACAATGAGAATACCGTGCCTCCAAATAACATTGACCCAGAGAAAAAATGCTTTATATGCAAAATGAGTCACTTGGTCAACATGTGTCCGACTTTAATGGCGAATGAAAATCGGGAGAAATTACTACGTCATTATAAGATCTGCATTTATTGTTTGAAGCATAAATTCAACTTTAGAAATCCATGTCGATCAAAAGATACAGTGAAATGTGAGAAATGCAATTTAAATCATCATACTGTTTTGCATCCAATCAACAATAATGCGTCAAATACATTTGTTACCAACCACCAGGAATGCCAAGAATTCAGTCACATAGCTCAACAAGCAGAGACACATGGATTCGTCACAAAAAATGGAGATACTTGCACCATTTTGCCGACGGCAATCGCTAATATTTTGGATAAAAATGGAATGTCTATTCCAATTGCCTGTCTTATTGACAATTGTGCAGAAAGAACTTACGTATCTGAGGATATAGTGCAAAAATTAGGACTTCGCAAGTATAAGACAAATATTATCATCAAAGGAATTAATGACATTCTTGACACAGCGAAATCGTACGTTAATTTAAGCATAAAATTGGACGATCCAAAAATTGGAGTCATTACCACCCAAGCTTTGGTTGTAACCAAAATTGCAAGCAATATTCCAACACTGGAAATTGATATGAATATGTTTGGCGATAAGAAAATGGCAAATCCTCTTTTGGGCAAATCATGCTCAGTTGGAATTCTGATGGGCAGTGATGTCTTGCCACAAATTTTTAAGGCCGGAGGGGGTACGGAAATCACAAAAAGCGGCTTACTTTTACAAGATACGCATTTAGGATGGATTGTAAGCGGGAAAAATTCTCGACCTCAAAAAATTGTAAGCTCATTTGTAACCTACAACGAATCAGCCTTAAAATGCTTAAGTGATGACAAAATTAATGAGAGAATATTGAAATTTTTTGAAGTCCCAGAAGAAATTGAGGAGTGTGACGATGATGAGGCAAAATATTGCGAAGAATTGTTCGAAAAGAAGCATTATAGGACAGAAGATGGAAGATATGTTGTTCCAATGATATGGAAACCAAATCCAGTGCCATTAGGCCACTCATATCGGAAGACTTTGAGATTTTTCTTATGGCAGGAGCAAAAATGGAACAAGGATCCTGAACATCAACAATTAAATGCTTCATTTATGAGGGAATATCTCTCAATGAACCACATGACTGAGATTGAAAAAGAAAAACATGCAGATGAGAGTGGAAACTGCTATTACGTTCCATATCTCTCTATATTTCGACCAAATGCGCTCTCAACACGATTGAGGAACGTTTTTAATGCATCAGCAGTTACGAGCAATGGAAAAAGCCTTAATGATCAACTATGCTCAGGTCCAAAGCTCCAAAACTCAATTATTGAAATTTTGACAAAAGCCAGAACCTTTCAAGTTATTGTGACTGCTGACATAGCTAAAATGTTCAGACAGATCTTATTGTTGCCTGAAGATTGCAAAAAATTGAGAATTATTTGGAGAGAGAAGCCGAGCGATGAGTTACGTGAATTTCAGTTGGAAACTGTAACATATGGTACAGAGT